GAATTGATAGTAAAATATTTTTGAAGTAGAGCTCCAAATTTGGTGTGTTCTTTCTATATTTCGTGCAGTCCCGCCAAAACATCATTTTCTTGGTTTAGAAGCATTCAAATGACGAGCGACTTGATTCTGGAGATACTAGAGTTTTAGTTCTATGATATAATCAAAAATCAACATCAAAATCCTTTCGTAGTGACCGGAATTGATTTTTGAAGTTGGTTTCCAAATCTGGAAGTTCTCCTCACAGTTATGCACAATCTCGCTAAAATGTCCTTTTCTTGATGTAGGAGCATTCAAATGACGAGCGACTTGATTCTGGAGAAACTAGAGTTTTAGTACTATGACATATTAAAAAATCAACATAAAAAACCTTTCGTATTGACGGGAATTGATTTTTGAAGTTGGTCTCCAAATCTGGAAGTTCTCCTCACAGTTATGCACAATCTCGCTAAAACGTCCTTTTTTGGTGTTGGAGCATTTAAATGACGAGCGGCTTGATTCTGGAGAAAACTAGACTCGTAGTACTATGACATATCCAAAAACCAATATCAAACTCTCTCTGAATTGATAGAAATTGATTTTTGAAGTTGGTCTCCAAATTTGATGATTTTTCTCACAGATTTCCATTTTTTTCATATGTTTTTATTCATCAAAATTGCATCAGAAAGGCTTAAGCAGTGGAGATTGTAAGCAGCTTAAACCTAGGGTTTTAAGCCAGCAGCTGCGCAGCTCTCATGGCTGCTACGACCACTGGACGGCCTCCTTTCGAGGCTGTCCAGCCCGCCCCACCACCCCAAACCACCACATTTGCCACTCTTTTCAATTCCAATACTATAAATCCTAAACAATCTGCCCTAATTAACTCAAAAACAATCGCAAAACCAATCGAAATAATTCATGGAGAACCTACTATCACGTTTTCAATGGAGGAAAGGCAAGACTTTATGATTGAAGAGGGATTGCATCAAGCAGTGGTGTTTAAATTATCCCATGGTGCGCCAGATTTGAAGGTATTAAGGTCAATTTTACCGAAACATCTTGGTACCAAGGGCAACTGTTTAATTGGCTTACTTGCTCCAAGACAAATTTTGTTGAGATTTGATCAATATGAAGATTATGTACTAGCATTATCTCGCTCAATTAATTATCTTCTCTACAATGGAGAGGAGCACCAATGTAGGGTTTTTCCATGGTCCATTGGATATAATCCTAAGGAGGAAACGACGTTAGCTGTGGTTTGGATTTCTTTACCAAACTTATCTCCAGATTTGTTTGCAAAGAAGTCTTTGTTGTCTATAGCATCGGCAGTTGGGAAACCAATAGCTATAGATAAAGCTACTCAAATCAAGTCAAGACCTAGCACAGCTAGGGTCAAGGTTATACTTGATCTAATGGAAAAGCTTCCAAATCGTATAAGGTTGCAGTTTGTGAATGGAAAATCTGGTAAGTTGATCGAGGTTTTTCAGGAGATTGTATATGATAATCTACCTTTGTATTGCAATTATTGTAAGCACCAAGGTCATGATGAAGATAGTTGTCGTTTGATCTCAAAAAGAAATCAAAATAACAAACAAATTGATGATACCATTGAAGTTGCTACAAAAGGTACTATTGATAGTGAAAAGTATCAAGGTGATGTGAGAGAAATACTAAATGAAAAAAGAAAGGTTGTAGATATCAATCAAAGTAAAGCTACTTTGTTAGATCGGCAGTTGGTTGATGTCGCTTCTGAGCAAAATCGTGCACACTCAATGGATGTTGTTACAAGTAATATTGGTGTTCAAACAACGACCGAAAACAAAAGGGGAACGCCAAGAGTTGGGGTTGATGCGCCGTGAGTTGGTTCAGGCAAAAAAATAATGGATTCAGGACACAAACTAATGGATACATCTGATGTTGAAGATGCTGAAAATTCTGGGCAGCATGTTTTGCAAGTTGAAACCAAGAATGCAACTAAAAATTGGACACTGGTTGCACACAAAAATTCAACTAGTAATCGGAGCCTTTCCCCGACTAGTCAAAATAATTCTCCATGTAGTGAAAAGGGTGCGACTGGAAATTTTTATGACAGTGAGAAGAGGCAAGATATTAGTAATGCCTCAAGAGACCTATTATGTTCGAATAGCTTTGATGCTTTATCGAAGACTAGTGGACAACAAGTAAAGTTAACAGAGAATGACAACGATTTGATCAAAGAAAAACAGGTCTCACCACCTACTTTGAATAGCAAATTAAGTCCAGAAGCTCCCGTATTTGTGCCTAAATGTGTGATTGCAAAGAAAAATGAGTCAAGGGTCTTAGTGTCAAATACAATTGATTTGGGCGAGGGTTTTCTTGATGAAAATGAGAAAGACAATATGCTTGATTTTGGCGAGGATTCTCTTGATGAAGATGAGGAAGATATGCTGGACATGTGCTTTGATAGAGTGGCTAGGGAAGGAGATATATCACCTAGGCAACAAAGAAGTAGAAGCAACAAAAGCAAAAAGAAGACACATGGAAGGCAACATAGTTGGGACGGTAAAATGACTGAGGAGTTTGTTCCAAGGCACCTACCGATGCGACAGGCAAAGCAGAACCATTTGACAGTATCAATAGGTTCAACAAGGTCCAATAAATCCATAAAGAAAGTATGAATTATCAAGTGTTGTTGGATAGGTTTGAAGAAGAAGACAAGAGAAAAATACTTCAAGTTACTTTTGATGGGCAATCAATCTTTTTTAATTCATGCGTTTGCAATAGAAAGTTTGAGGCTGATAACTCAACTTTCTTCTTGATTGACATATTTTTACATTATTTAAGCATCCTCATTTGTAATATCATCATGGAGTGTATTACAAACTCTGTGGTGATCAGAAAATACTTAGTTCTCTCTAGCTCTTATTTTCTTCATTCTTGTTAGGTAGTAGACACTTCATTAGGATTAGTAAGGTAAGGCCTAGCCCCCCTTGCTTGCACTTATCCCTATTGATATTTTTATGTTTAATAAAAGGCCACTAGACACTATCTAGTGGTAAATTTGCGGGAAAAAAAAAGTGGAGATTGTTGTTGAAGAGTGATCTAGGTCTCAAGTTAAAGTGTCATACTATGAGCGTTAATATTTCAAATTTTAAAATTATTTTTACCTTATCCAACCCTACCATCCCTACCCCCTACCCCCTCCCTCCACAAAAAAAAGTTGTTTTGAAAAGTATTTCAAATTTTTAAAATTTCATTTTTACCCATCCCAAACATTAACACCCACGACTCCCCCTCCACCTCGTAATTATTTTTTTAAAATTATTTTTGAAAAATATATTTCAAATTTTATTTTTTTGATTTTAATGCCAACACCCGTACCCATCCCCCCCCCCCCCCCTCCAACCCAGGCCACCCGTCATATTTTTTTTTATAAAAAAAATATTATTTTTGAAAAATATTTCAAATTTAAAAAATTTCATTTTAACGCCACCTCCATTCCTACCCCTCCCATGCCACCCGCACAGAAAAAAAGTTTTAAAATTAGACAAGTAATAATGTACGTAAAAATAAATAGAAAAAATAATTAATTTTATAAACTAATGAATATTTTGGGACGAACATCTTTAGTAATATTATCCATTAATATCAGACGGAGGAAATAATTTTTTCACCTTATTTTCTAGACAAATTAGTAGAGCATACTTACTTAGAGCTTGTTTTACATTGCCGTTGGGAGGCCAAAAGTGTTTATTTATTTTTTTTAGAAAAAAACACTTATTTTGAGAAACTAAGTGTTTGACAAATTCTTAAAACTACTTTTAAATGGAAGCAGAAGCAATTTTTCTGTTGTTGGGAAGAAGCTAAAAATTCTGCTTTTAAAAAAAAGCAAAAATCGAAAATTAACTTTTTTAAGACTAAAATATCCCTTACATATATACATATTTATCAATATACCCCTTATTAATTAATTAACGTATCTCATAAGTTTTGTTGATTTTTTTTTTATAATAGTTTTTTTATGTTTTATATTATTATTTATATATTATATTGTATATATTACTTTATGTATTATTTTACAGACTTAGAAATAAAAGTAACAACGATAATTTTGTAGGATTAAAAAAAGAGAAAAAGTAACAATTAAAGATTTAGACCCTCCCAAAAAAGTAGCAAATAACAAATTTTTCTTTCTTAATTTACATAGTATTTTATTTTAATTTGATTTTTTTAAAACTTTAGAATATTATAACAAAAAAGGGATAATAGCTAAGATTGAATCCAAAAAAATAGGTAACAAATAACAAAAAGATTCATCTTTTCAATATTTTTCAACAATATTTATCTATGTACAATATTGATTGAAAATTTGAATATGTACATTTTAAATAATTAAATTAAAAATGTAATTAAAGGTTATGTATTAGATGTTTAAAATAGTTTCTTTCTATAAAATAATGTTATTATTAAAAACACATTGATACTTGACATTTTTCGTAATTTGACTCTCAAAAATATTTTAAAAGTAAATTAGTCACAAATTGCTTACCAAAAATTTTTTTCAAATGAATTTTCCAAACACAAATTACTTTTTCTGAAAAGCTATTTTGAAAAACGATTCTAAAAATAAACAATTTTTAACAGCAATGCAACAGACTTTTAATCAGACATTAGGTAGAAGGTGTAATTGAAATGAACTTTTCATTTTCCTCCAAAAAAAAAAGTTTTAAATTTTGTCCAAAAACTTAGATACCAATAGAGAGGATTACTGTCCTAATCAAACAGATTAAACTAATCACGCGACAGCTATAAGTTTAGCTCACAATTCCATATTCTCAGGACACGTGTCACTTAGAAAGAGCGAGTTTCACCGAATAGATAAAAAAAAATAAAAAAAAGCCTAAAGCCTTTTTCTATTTTCCCTCTCAGTTCGAAATTCAAAATCTAAAATCCAAAAGGGCTTTCAATACAGTGACTCCTCACCCCCACCCCACTAATAATAATTTTGCCTTCTCTTTAAATCTCTGAATTCAACTGAAACCTTTAGCTAGGGTTTTCACTTCCATGGCGATTTCTCGATAAACTCCGTCTTTATCAATCAAATCATATCAATTTATACTGTAATCGGAGTCGGAGGATGAGATATATCATTTGAGAAAATATGTTATGGTCTAGATTACCTTCCGAAGAAAGTGAGGATAGGAATAATCGGGATATATTTGGAGTGTTTAGGGTGCTGGTTGTTGCCGCTATGGGATGTCTCTTTGGCTGTTTCCGTATCAATGATGGTTCTCTTCCTCCTGATTCCAAATCTCAGCTCGTTTCCCAGTCTCTAGCTCCTAAGGTTGTCTTATATGTTTTTTTTTTTTAGTTTATGAATTTGTTATGGACTTTCAATTCACCTATAGAAATGGTAGATACAGATGATCTGTGATTAAAATTCGTTGATTTTACTAAATTGTACTATTTCTCGTTTTTGAGTTGAAGTTCTGTTTGATTGCGATTTACTGTCACATTTCATCTTTTTTTTTTTGTCGTTTGATTTCTCGGTAGCTAATAAGGATGAAATTTGCCGTTTAGGGCTACTTTGTGGAACGATGAATTTCTGATCAGACTATCTATAGCTATGGTAGGCTGGTAGCTCTGCTAGATACGGAAGAGATCCACAATTCCTCATAGCTATTTTTGTTATTTGATCAGGAACCTGTGGTGTCTCGCAACAGGAGTCCATTATCTTCTCTTTTCAATTCTGAAGGTAGTAATCTTACATAAATTATCACACTATTAACCAATTGAATTGATATTGTTCATTAAATATTTTCAAGTTCATAAATTTTTATGCTGATGATGTCAGAAAAAGGCGAGGATGATTATTTGCGCGAAACTGGAAAGGCTGATCAAGATGCAGGAACACCTAAGTCTGAGCTGCACACGAAAGAACTCAGGGATCAGGTTCGTTTTCCTAAAGTTTCATCACTTAAATTAGCCTTTGTCAGTTACTCTATTCAATTTAAGTTGCAACATTTGGATATGTATGAGAATTTGATAAAAGCAGATAAACAACTGAAATTTTGGAGGAGGAACTTCCCTTGCTATTCTCCTCTTACTTTAAGAGGAAAGGTACTTTAAATGAACTACTCTTAACATAAAAGTTAAGTAAACTGCACGGATAAGTAGATATACCCCACTAATTTCATTATTTCATGTTCTAATTTCTATGTTAGTGAACTTAGGAGTGCTGTTTTTATGAGAAGATTAATGTATATTTCACATATAAAGAGCTAAGTGCTGAAATATAAGAGATATATACAGTAGAAGAAACATCCTTTGATAAGTTAATACACTTGGCAAGATAGTACAACGAAAATCCTTTTCTCTACCATTTCAATTAACAAAGTCAACCATTTCAACAAAGCTTGGAAAGATAGTACAGGTTCATTTCAATGAAAGATGAATAGCATAGGGGTCATTCACCTGTCTATAATTTGTATTCTTCAATTGGTAGAGACGTTCTTTTCTTAGCACCTGGTATATTGAAACACTTCGACTCTTAGGAAATTTGAATGGAGTTTGGGGGTCATTTTTATGTTTAATTTCTAGGAGATATTGGTTTACTGAAAGTTAAATAGTGCCATCACATCAAAATATCCAGTCAGGGTATATTGCTGAATTTGTCTATGTAAAGAAGAAATTTTTAATTATGTAGGATAACACCTGCTCTCTTGTGCAGATGAAAAAGCTTAATGTAACTGACATAGGTAATAAGGCAACACTGGAGAGCCCATGGACTAATTCCGCCTAGTGGTGAATTCAACCAATAGAGAATGCTTTATTAGTTCTGGACGACTATCTACTCTCCCTTATTTTTCTTTAATCATATTTCATCATCCTGCTTGCTGTTATATCTTCCAATTTTCTTATTTAAGATGCTGGCGGCATGCCTGCCGGACCCTAATCTTTCTCCAATTACTGAAAGTGAATTCATTCTTATTTATTCTTGAACGAATTTTCTCTTAGGTGTTTTATTGATTGCTGCGAAATTTAGTTATCATTTCAATGATTTGTCAATCTTTACCTTTCCTTTGAATATTTTTATGAAATTTGTTGATCATTGGGACCTTTGCTATGTTTGTCACCTCCGTTTGGATTTAGATCACTTCACACTTTGGAAATTGCAGTATAAGTTATAGTGAACTGCATTGAAGGTTTGTGAATTTTCTGCTGACAGAAAAAAAGATCCAATATTATGGATGAGGTGATAAATCATTTAGTGCCCAAGTAATGTAGCATTCTTGTATTTCTTTGATTCACTAATCGTTTTGATTAATCGATGGCCTTGTATTTCTTTTAGTTTTGGATGCTGATAATTTCTGCAACTTTCTTCAGATAGTAACCATCTAGTCCAGCTACCTTTGGTTTGAGATTTCCCCACCTATTTTTAGATAATTTTGCATTGTCTTTATTTGTCTAACTATTATGCAGGCCAAGTTCCTTAAAGCTTGTGGAACTTTACCAGAGACTCCTGCTGAAATTCGAAAAGGCTTGGCTAAATGCAAAGATCTATCAGCTTCAAAAGGAGATGTTGAACCTTTAAAATTCAAGTCTTGGCTCTCTGATGTGGCTGTTGAAAAGTTCAACCTGGATTTGCTACCTGATCACCCTATTACACCTAGTAAAAGCAATGAACTGGAAAAACAATCTGGTTCCTTGACTCATACATCTAGCAGGTAGAATCCTGACCTAAAAAGACGCTGGTCAATTTACATATAGCATGTCTTCAGCCAATTCCTAAAATTATGGTTGATCTTGTTAAAGTTCTTATGGATAAAAATCCCCCTTTAAAGGCCCCCTTCGTATTTTAATGGGAAGTATGCATTTAGCATGTTTATATATTTTACATCTCATGTTGTCTTATGTCTCTGTAGTTGCATGATGGATGGACAAAATGGTCAAAGCTCGCCAAAGAACTCTATTCATGGTAGTGGATCTGCTAACACTCCGACATCCATTGAGTTTAATGCTAATCAGGCTCATAGAGACGCGGCTTCAGAGGTTTCACCAATCTTTGCTCCCAGTGCCCAGTACATGAATAAAACTGTTCGCTTTGATTGTGAGTCTGATCTGTCTGCAGTCTCATCCAAAAGTACTTCATTTGCACTTGACAGTGAAAACTCAAAGCAGGCTGAGTTTTCTGGCAATTACTCTGCATTGAAACATTCGCCCTACCCTACCCCACTAAAACTAAGTGATGAAATGCAAACACCAGGAACTGTTTTTCCAACATATATAGACGACATTGCCTATGGAAAAGCTCCTCGGATCAGGTCTCAGTATGTTTATCCAGTTTTAAACCCTGTGGATAGAGCACCGCAGTTGAAGGATTTGTCTGATGAAGATTCCTACTCCATTGAAAATTCTAATTCTAGATTATGGTCCAGTAACATGACAGAATCTGGTGAACGGCCAAATGAAGCAAGCTTTTCATCAGAACTAGTAACGCCCGGATTAAGAAAAGCTTCAGCTGATAATGATTCAAAGGTAGAGGCAAGCTTGTCTTCGTGGCTGAAACCATCTTCAATCAATCAAGACATGGGTAAGCAGCACACTAGTTCTGGTTGCGGTAACAATGCTCATTATGGCAGAACTCCTGGAGATAGGCCTATACTTGGATTGGTTGCTGCTCACTGGAAAGATGATGAAGATTCTCGTATATCTCCTAAATGGTGGGATGGAAATGGGATCCCCAATTCAACTAACAAGTATAAAGAGGTTTGTCCTGCGTAGTTCTTTAGCCTTCTCTTTTATCCTTATTTTCAGTCCACATCTCAACTCTGAGCTACACAACTCAATAAGCTTAAAGCTGATGACTTTGAGACTTCGCAGGATCAGAAAGTAAGCTGGCATGCAACGCCATTTGAAGAGAGACTGGAGAAGGCATTATCAGAAGAATCTTCCATTCCACATAGGTATTCAATCCTTCTTTGACTTCTCTTGGTATATGTTCGTTGTTGTTCTATTTCTATCTCAGTAACTTCTCGTTTATCTATCTTACTTCATCGTGTCACAGCTAGTCGGCATCATTTCATCAGTTTTGAATAAACTGGCAAGGCAGACAGATTTAGATTCATCAAGTGAATTGATAGAATTAAAGGATCAATTGGTTATGATTGATATATCTGATGTACTTCTTTGGATTTGCAGGAAGCAATACAGTGGGACAAGACCATTTGCCTTTAACGACATGGATGAAACTGATACTGCCATCTCTCAAGTGCACTAATAATGTCAGCTAAAGCTCATTTTCCATCCATCAATTAGCACAGATTCAAAGTTTATCCGGGAATTTTGTTTCGTCTTAGCTGAGATGCTGCTCAATCTCAGGTGTAAGCCAGACGTTCAATCTCTGATGATGGTTCGAGATATATCAAGGATTTCTGAGTGTAATATAGTTGTAGTTTTGATCATATAAACTGAACAAGGTGGCAGTTTAAAAATGAAAAATGATTAAGGATATTGGTGCAATATGATTGAGCATCTGTTTAGCAATGCATCAAGTATAAACAAATTTGCTCCACTGTTAATGTGATTGCAATTTTTGAATTGTTTGAAATTTGAATCATGCATCCTTTTAATCTTTGTAGTTCCTTTCGATATTTGTTCTTAAAGCCAGTCGAACTAATATTTCAGATAAAAAACTTGACTATCTTTAGACCCAAATAATTGACAAGATTTTGTGTTATTTATGATTTATCAATTTATTGCAGCACAAGAAGCTTTTAAGTTATATTATGAGTAATAATCATCCATAAAACTAACTTTGGTAGGATCCCAAACATCACAATGAACCAATGTTAAAGAGAGAGACTATGCACCCCAAATCCAATAATATTTGTCTTGATTAATAGAGCAGTCAAAATTAATCATTCAATCCAAATTTATAGTAAGAATTAATCAAATAAAATTTAGGTGTACTTTGAAATATTAAGAGCAGGAGGAGGGGTAAAATAGACATTCCAAAACAAAGAAAGTGGAAACCCTAGTATATAACAAAGTTAGTAGTGATGAGTGGCAAGTAAAGAGGGGGAAAGGCATGTGAAGAGAAAAATAGCAGTGAATAGAAGAGCTTGAAGCGGCGAAAATGGAGAAAGGAAACATGTGGAAAACGAAAACACTGATCCAAATTAAAACATGATGGGATTAATATAGTTTTCAATCTGAAACTAAAATTCCCTTCTCTGTTTGGCTGCTCGCTCCTCTTCATCTCTCTCTCTCTCTTTCTACATATATATATATATATATATATATCTATCTATGTCTCGCTGAGGCACACATTCTCTCTCTCTCTCTCTCTCTCTCTCTCTCTCTATTTCTCTCTGCTATTCAGATCTTCAATGGCTTCCCCCTCGACCTGATGATGATTCTACACTCTGAAGGTTCAATATTTTAATTATTTTTTTATTTTCATTTTTCTGTTATTAGACCTTAATTTGATGTTTAGATCTGTTTTTTGTTTTTTCGAATTTCTCAGTATATTAGAGTATTTTTGTGTCAATTACTCTTGATAAAGAATTTTCTTCGAAAACTTTTATATGACTAAATATTTGTTGAAAACAGATTAGCATTTTTTATTTTGCCTCTTGTGAAACTACTAATTGTAACATGGTTAAGCTTAGCAAGCAATTGCCATAATTAGTATTTATATTTTTTTCAAAATTTTAAGCATTTTCCTCTGTTTAAAAAATAAATAAATTAAAACTAGTGTAATTGACCTGCCTGATGAAAGTTGTCTTACTACTAACCGAAGCTACAGGTAGTCCCGAGGGGGCGACATCCTCCTATAATAGTTAGCCGTACTGGACGGACAAGCGAGTCATCGGTCAGAGGAAAGAAAGGAGTCGCCTTTGAAAAAAAAGAAACTTATTAGACGTTCAGAACAAAGGCAATTCTGTTCTTGCTTCAGACAATCTAATTAATTCTATATACAACTATCTAATTTTTTTCTATAAAGGCTTAAGGTCTAAGGCCAATTAATTTGAATAGCACATTCTCCTGATTTAGTAAATAGGCATTATAATAATTTTCTACATTCTAAAATATTGAAGTCAAATATCAACTAAAATTGGTCAAACAGACATAAAAAGTCTACATACTAGCCACTTGAATTCAGACATAAAAGATAATATAAAAAAGTATTCAGTTCCATTTTATGTGAGGTATTTTGATTTGACACCTAATTTAAAAAAGAAATAAAGATTTTTAAAATTTGTGGCTCGAAATGAATAATAGAAATTTATATGACTGTAAATCACTTTATTAAGAATAAAATATATAATTTATAATTAAATTGTTAATTAATATAAAAATATGTCATTTTTTTTAAACTGACTAAAAAGATAAGTAAATCACGTTAAATTGGGACTATCACTTTCAAAAGGATAGATATAAAAAGAAATCTACAATTAAATAATCATTTCACGAATTTGTCATGGAAAAAATCATCCACGTCTACACGTTTAGACATTATATTCCTAAATCAGAAAGGAATAAGGTTAGACAATTCAGGGTGTGATATATTTATGAAGAATGATTTTTCGACGAAGAGTATTCAATTGATCACCCTAGCTTATATGTGGCTACGGTCTTAATATGAGGCATAAGGTATAATAATTCAAAACAAAATATAGGATTAATTTATTATGTGTTTGGTTTGATATATTAGGTAGTCTTTAGAATATTTATAATGTCATTTTTGTCATAATGATGAAATGAGTTATTTTATATACATAATGAAATAATTTGTCTAAAATAACTTGTCCCGGTTTAATTTCCTCTAACGTAGTAGTAAAATACAAGCTTGAAATAGGAACTTTTCCTTTTCTTTGTTCTTTGTAATTTTACTATGATATGATTTTCAGATTGACTGAATCAAAACTAGTGGTTGACTACCTGTTCATCAACAAATCTCAGGGCTAGGACTCTTCGTTTAACCACTCAAATTCACATTCGAATCCATCAATTTATAATTGAACAAACAACACAAATTTTAAAGTGTAGGATCCAATTACGTGTTTTCATTTTAATTTTTGAAATCTTTGCTTTGCTAAATACATGTATCTCGAATATATGCGGGTTAAATTTCTTGTAATTTTTTTTAGGCGCAAATTACAGAAATCACATACTTTTAAGGCAAAATTACAATATATCCCTTTAAAGTTTATAATTACAGAAATCCCTCAAACAGATACAATAATATAAGTGCTGATACATTAATCTGATTGGCGAGATACATTACATTTTATACATGATACATTAATCTGATGTACATTTTATACATGATACACTAATATGATGCGCGAAAATGAGAAATTTTGGAGATTCGTAAAACTTATAGGGGATAATGGTAATAAGTAAACTAAAAGGTGAGATTTCTATAATATTTATATATATATATATATATACACATTGTGTCCAAGCGTGATTCATATGAATCAATGATAAACTAATTCTCTTTGCTCACCTTTCTATCTTGCTTGCATCTCTCCTATCTCGCTAGCCTTTCTATCGCTCACCTCTTTCCTCTCTTGGTCGTCTCTCTTCCTATGTATATATATATTTTAGAATGTATCTGGTATCAAAGATACATGTATATAGTATCTTTGATACACGTATCTAACTTGAAATCTGAAATAGTGATGTACATATCTGACTTGAAATTTGATGAACAAAAATATCAATTAATGAGATAATATGTAATTACTTCAAACTATAAAATGATCTAGTACATCTAGTAGGAATGTTTGTATAATTAGGTAATTTTTTCTTTATAAGAACAATTCTCTCTTCAGTAGCAAATTGGATTCAAAACTTGTTGCAAAAAAATGAAAAAAAGAGCGATAGGAATATATTTTTGTCTCGATTTAGTACGATAAAAGCTCTAAGTTTTAAGCTCTAATGAGGGCACTCATCATGTATCATCTTAACTGAGGTTGCAACTTTGTGTCTTAGTTGAAAAATTTAATTAAAATAACTAGATCACTTCTATGCGTCTTGATCCAAATACTCCTAAAAAATAGAAATCTTTAATTCAACAAAGGAGTAGACTCAATCTTAAGTGTGCAATACATGAAGAGAGGTCATGTTTAATTTGTTGAATCAAAGATTTGTATTTTTTAAGAGGGTTTGTATTAAGACGCATAACTGCAACCTCCCCATTTTTAATAATTGTCTTCATCTAAGACACAAAAATGCAACATCAATTAAGATGATATATTATGAGTGTCCTCGTTAGAGCTTAAAACTTAGAGCATTTACCCTACTAAATTGAGAGAATATTCCCATTGCTCTTCTAATTTTATCACTTTTTTGCAACAAATTTTGAATTAACCCGTAAGTTTTTTGGACAAACTGTCTTATTAGGCATACATCACTATTTTATATACTAATAATACCTGTACTTTTAAACAATTACATATATTACCACTTTTAATATTTTATATCATATATTATTTAAAATTCAATCAAATTCCTACATCCCTTAAAACTAGGATTAATTAATTATCTTCTTAATTTACACTTTCACTCCAAATCAACCACTCTTTTTTAATTCTCTTCTTCCATATTTATCACTTAATTATCTCTTCTCTTTTCTGATTCAAGAATTTCACCATACAATTTTATTCCAACAATGACTAATCTACTCTCTTCTTCTCAAGATATCATCACCATGAGTCCATGACCGATAAAATCGCTTGAACCAAACCTTATTCTGTATTGTTCCTTTCTAACAAGACCAAATCGAAGTAACTGCTACAAAGAAAGCTTTTCAAGTTATTCGATGGATCGGCCAAACAGTTCACATTCATTGTCAAAGACTCCATAAACTCTTTATCATTGAAGTCATGGATTTTATGGATTTTCAAGTCTATTTTTAATAAATTCATGATGATGTGTTGTATCTTTATTAACTAATAATCGTTTTCTCCGTAGATGACAAAAGTGATACAATGGGGAGAAGGATTAAATATGATTTTTTCTATATGTATCTTAAATTAATGTTATGTATCTTAGTCTCAAAAGTTTTGCATATTGTATTATTAGATGTATCTGGTGTATTTAAACAAGTTCATGTATCTTTTTATTTTCATTGTATATGCAGTAAGTCTTCATATGTCTATTAGGTATATACATGTATTTGTATCTAACAAAGAATTTATTAACATGGTAGACATTGTCGTTATATACAAATATATCTAAATGATATAACTCAGATACATGATCATGTATAATAGATTCAAACTGTACTTATGAAAATCATTCTAAAAAAGACCCTCAGATACATGCATTACTATTAATGTAGGTAAAATACACCTTAGATAAATATTATATATATTATACAAATAATTATATATATTAAAAGATAGACATATATATACATGTAATTAAGGAAAGAAATAAAAACGGAAATTGATATTTTTTGAAAAATTGATATAGTTGATATGGTGGGATGCTGAGAATATGTTAGAGTAATCAATTATTTCTTTAATTAAGGAAATCAATTATAACTATTTAATTCAAACTAATAAAACATGTATCTCACT